GCAGCAAAACAGAGGAGTTAGTCTTAGACTAAAAGGAGCCGGAAAAGACAATCCAACTTGGAGTATCTATAGACGGAACATTGCGGGCAGAGCTAATCGCCTTGCTACGTGTGTTCCGAGATATCTTTGCTTAGGCACCATCTGACATGACTGGAGTTCCTCAAAAAATTATCAAGCGCAAGCTGAAGTAGATCCCAACGTCAAACCAGTACAACAGAAAAAGAGAATCTTTGCTCGAGATTGCAATGACGTTATCAACGAGGAAATGCTCAAGTTAGTCCGTGCCAACATTCTTCGAGAAGTTCTTTGGCCCACTTGGTTAGCCAAACCAGTCATCATCGGAAAGCCGGACAACATTTGGTGCATGTGCCAAGATTACACCGACTTCAACAACCATTGCCCCAAGGACTGCTATCCTTTGCCGGTCATTGATCAAATAGTTGAGGGAATCACCAGGTTTAGAACTCTGAGCTTCCTCGATGCCTACAAGGGATATCATCAGATCCTTATGGCCCAAGAAGATGCTGAAAAAAAGGCTTACATCACTGAAATTGGAGTCTACTGCTACGATAAAATACCGTTTGGACTAAAGAATGCTGGAGCCGTTTATCAGCAGTTGGTCAACAGAGCCTTTCACGAGCAAATCGGACGTAACATCGAGATCTATGTAGATGATATAGTCATCAAGAGTAATCTTGACGAGGCGATCAACATGAAGCTCAATCCAAAGAAATGTTCCTTTTGCATAGGTTCAGGGAAATTCCTAGGTTTTTCAAGTCTCCAAGGACGGCATAAGTGTGGATCCTACAAAGGTCGAGGCGATCCTCACTACGAAGGCTCCCAAGACGGTTAAAGAAGTCCAGAAACTTATCGGTTCCCTCGCCGCGCTAAACAAATTCATTTATCTTTCAGTTCAGAGAAGCCTTCCCTTCTTTAAGGCACTAAGAAAGGGGAGGAAATTTGAATGGAACGAGGAACGCCAACAAGCTTTCCAAGACCTGAAGGTACACCTCAAGCAGCTCTCTATGTTAGGAAAACCTGAGCCAGGAGAGGTCCTGTATATTTACTTGGCTGCTCAGGAAACAGCTATATCTGTGGTCCTAATTCAGAAGAAAGACGAAAAGGAAATCTCAGTGTACTTTGTGAGGAAGGTTTTACAAGGAACAGAATCCCGATACACTCCGATGGAAAATCTGATAATAAGCCTTGTGTTGGATGCTCGACGGATATGCCCCTATTTCCAAGCTCATCCAATCCAAGTCCTGACCGAGCAACCAATTCAGCAGGTCCTCCTTAAACCTGAAACCTCTGGTCGAATGATGAAGTGGGCCGTCGAGTTAGGAGAACATCATATCGAGTACAAGCCTAGAACAATTATAAAAAGGCACGCGTTTCCAGATTTCCTTGTCGAAATGCCCCGTACTTCTAGTACCATACTCGAACCACCTTCAAAGAAGCAAGTGCACAAGCATGCTCCCATGGATCCTCAAGCCTGGACTCTTTACGTCGACGGCTCATCTTGTGAGGACGGGGGAGGGCCGGCATAATCCTGGCCAAACCAACCGCACCACAAGAAATTGAGGAGATAAAGGAATATGATACGGAATACTCTTATGCCTTGCGATTTGACTTCCCAGTCACTAACAATATGGCCGAATACGAAGCAATGATCACGGGGTTGAATATGGCTCTAAGACTGGGGGTTCAGAATTTAGAAGTTTTTAGCAATTCTCAGTTGGTTGATAAGCAAATCAATCGTGACTACACCATCCACGAGGAACATTTAAGGCCATATCTTGAGAAAGTCCTCAAAATCAAGGATAAGTTCGACAAATGTTCCATATCTCACATCCTTAGAACTAGCAACAAGAGAGCCAACGCCTTAAGGAAGCTAGCTTCGTCCAATTGCACACACCTCAGTCATAAAGTTTGGGTCGAGATACTCCCCGAACCTGGCATCCAGCCCCGGGTATCACTCACGATCACTGAAGATGGAGATACATGGATGACACCATTTATCCAGTTTCTCGAAAACGGGACTCTCCCCAGTGATAAGTTTGCAGCTCGAGCATTAAAGTTAAAAGATGTCAAGAATACTTTGAAGGACGGAATCCTCTACAAGCACGGGTATCTACTACCAATGTTGCTCTGCATCGGCCCAAAACAGGCAACCTATGTCCTTGAGGAAGTTCATGAAGGATCATGTGGTGCTCACATGGCAGCACTGGGATTGGCCAAAAAGGTCCTTCAAGCAGGTTATTTTTGGCCTACAGTTTTCAAGGATGCCTATCAGTTTGTGCAAAAGTGCGATAGATGTCAGCGATTCTCTCCCATCACTCAACAACAACAACATGAGATGGTAACTATCCAAATCCCTTGGCCCTTCTACCAATGGGGAAGCGACATCATCGGCCCTTTTCCAAAGGGGGTAGGAGGGCTGCGATGGGTTATCGTAGCGGTGGATTATTTTACTAAGTGGGTAGAAGCAAAGCCGCTGGCCTCGATATCTGGAAGGAAGGTGTTGAATTTTTTCTGGCAATACGTGGTTTGCCGCTTTGGAGTGTCCAAGGTTATCGTATCAGACAACGAGACACAGTTTGAGTGTGATCCTTTCAAATCGTGGTGAGCTGAAATGCAAATAGAACGCTGATTTTTTGCTGTTGCTCATCCGCATGCAAACGGCCCAGCTGAATCTATCAACAGAACTATTTTGCATGGAATCAAGACCAGGTTGTAAAATGCCAAGGGGGCATGGGTCGACAAACTATCACATGTCTTATGGGCCTATCGCATTACAACTCATTCCTCGACTGACGAAACTCCTTACAGTGGTCTACAGTATGGACGTTGAACTTCCAATCGAGATTGGTCTCGCCAGTCCTCGAACCATCAATTTTGTTAAAGACACAAACAATGAAGATATGTTGGCTAACCTTGACCTGCTCGAGGAACGGCGAGACGTCGTTAAAATTCGAGAAGCTAAGTACAAAAAGATCCTCAGAAAGCACTATAACAAGCGAGTCAAAAGCACTGACCTCGCGGTCGGAGACTTGGTACTTAGGAAGAATGAAGCCAGTCAAGCTGAGACTCCTGGCAAGTTATCAGCAAATTGGGAAGGACCTTATCGAGTCATCCAGGCTTCCCCTTCTGGTAGTTATCGCCTGCAGATAACAGATGACACAGGAACCATCCTCCCTCCATGGTGGAAGTTATCGAGATTGGCAAGTTTTTCCCTGCTACTTGCTAAATTACTTGCTCTATGTGATTTGTTGTCTTTATTCCTTAATATGTAATGTTAACCCGGGTCCTTGGGTAATTATTCAATAAAATTCATTGCATATTTTTCATATTTTGAATGCGTTGACACTATCTTATGACTAGTCTACGAGATGGACACCCTCTTCAGGGCCATCCATGAATTGAACCGTGTATTCAACATCCGGACACAAAAACCAAGGAATTCTCGTCGTACTTGCCGCAGATCGTGTTATGTTACCATCGGGGAACCCGTATTTGGTTCCCTCGAGAGAGCCGTGTACTTTACATCCGGCCATCAAGTGCTATATAAATTATACTCAAGTATGAATCAACAAACGATGCCGACAAGGCTCAAATCAAATGCATTGCCCTCACACCAAGTGCAGGGTTGGATAAATACACCTATCCTTCCTTAAATACTTAGATCTTCCCCCTTGGGGTTAAATCTAGATGGCTTAATGACACCAGAGAATCCTAACATTCTAAGATGGTTGACACACTGGTTCAGCTTGTCCTTCAAGTCCACGATCTCCCAGTCTTGCTCGTTAAGCCTAAGCAGGTATTCTTCGGCAACCGTCCTCTCTTTAGCTTCTTCATTCTCATCTAGGTCCTCAAGAATGGGAAGTGGAATCTCACGATGGGCCAGTATATTCTGTAAAATGGCAGATTGCCTCGAGAAAAACTCGGCTTCCTTGGTCCTCTTTTTCAGCAGCTCTATCGTAGCAATAAAGTGCTTCGTCCTAAACTGAATCTACTTCTCGACAAGCGAAAGAATGTGAAACTTCTCGAGGAACCACAGAGATACCATGATTCCTTCATGATGCTTCAGCTGGGAGTTCTCCTTTCTTAACTGAGCATCTCCTCGTTTACATTTGTCTCTAAGATTAGAGAGTCTTGGTAGTCGAGATCATATTGATGGAGATGGCGTTGATATTCTTCTTCCTTCTGTTTGAAACGCTATACCAGTCGAGAGTGTATCTGTACATTGTATGCCTGGACAGCATCGATAATGTCCTTCTCAAGAATCCTTACTGCAGAAATATTGTGTATTCTCCAACTTTGTCATCGCTGAAGAAACCATAGCATACATGGGAAAGTTTTTTGCTTGGTTCTCATCCAAGATCATCAGATGTACCCGTGAACAAAGTATGATTTCAAGCATAAGACACGGAATAAAATCAAGAGGCTGAATACCATAAAAAGTAACAAGAAATACTTAGAAAAGATGTTCAAAATCACTACCGCGGGCAATGTTACAAGGGATCCTTAAATTCAAAAGAAATTCTATCACAAGAAGATAAACTCATACAGCTGCTTGGACGTGAGGAGTATTCCTTGGCTGGTTTTCAGACGTCCCCTCGACGGGGGGATCATTCTCCTTGGCCCTGCAAGCATTCTCCTGGGCAGGGGGATCTTCTCCTTAGCTCCAGAATTGGCCGTCTCGCCCTCCTCCGAGGCGTCATCCTCGTCATCCTCCTCGAGATCAATGCCCAAATACTCTTCGGGGACACAAGGAGCCTCCAGTTCCTCACTAGGTCCCCTTGATAGGATAGAGTCAACATCCACTACAAGAAAATATCCTCAGGGGCACCCATCTTAGCCAGGGCCTCACACAATGGTTCCAACAATGGAAGATGCTTGATTCCAAGTTTAGAAAGGCACTTGACCAAAGCTTCATGTATGACTTTCTTAGGGTTCTCCCTCAGAAATTGTTTGAGCCACTTGGCTTTGATAGGCCTTTTTTACTTGAGTCTCTTTTGGCCTGCAATAGCAACTTCATGGCCACCATACGCAACCGAGGCCGTGTTGACCTCCTCTACGGCTGCAGTCATCCCACCTGTGGATAACATCCTCCACCAGAAAGTGGTGCACCACTTGTTGATATCTTTCTTGGAAATGTGAAGATTACTGTATTCCTGGAGTTTTCGATTCGGATCCTCAAGCTGCGTTTGTGCCACAGCCAGCTCCTTCTCCTTGGATTGCAGCTGTTGATTTTTCTCCTCGAGTGCCAGTTGCTCGATTAAAGCCTGGTCCCTCGCGGCACGAGCTTTAGCTAGCTCCAACCTTAAGTCCCTGGATCTCTTTGTATAGTTCATCATCACTGTGCTCATCTACACAAACCAAACAAAGAATATGTGCACACTCATACCCAAATATGAACTTCGGGTGTATAGCACGATATTAGACGTACCATTTTCAGGCCGTCAGCCTCAGTCAGAGAACAAGCAAACTCTTCCAGCAAGGGACGTTCAATTGTTGGCGGATCGCCAAAGGTATAAACTGCAGCAGAAGGGCCTCCTGCAGAATGGTTACGTCTCCCTCGAGGAGACCCTTGCCTTTTTCCATGGGTGGAGGTTGAGTGCGTGCCACGTTTCCTTCACCAGGTGTGTCTCCTTCTGGACGTGTGGCGGCATTATAGGTTTCTCGAGAACAGAAGGAATGGTCTTCTCTCCCTCCTTTGTCGGTCCTGTTTCTTCGAGACAGAAACATCAGTCTTGGATTTCTTGGTGCTTGGCACTATAGGTTCCTCAGGAACAGAAGGAATGGTCTTTTCTCCCTCCTTTGCCGGTTCTGTTTTCTTCGAGACGGAAACATCAGTCTTGGATTTCTTGGTGTTGGGTCCCTTCTTGGAATCCTTTGGGTTCCTCTTCTTCTTCTTCTTCTTCTTCTTCTTCTTCTTCTTCACTTTCTCCACCATTGTTTTTGTCGTGGACAAGTCTTCATCTGAGTTCACAATGTTAAAGAAGTAGGAATCACCATATAGCCCAGGACCGGCATTTTCTGACAACATGACCTAAAAACAAAGAGATAATAAAGAGATTAGTACCTTTCTGCTCCTTGACAGGGTTATCGAGGGTGTCATTAACTTCCTTCTCTTCAAAGGGAACATCGGGAATGAAATGCTGCACAGCGTCCCACTTAACCACTTTGGAGTACTTCTCGAATTTCTTTAAGTCCTAGGCGAACTCCTTAATCTTTTCTTTATCTTCGTCTGTGCAGTCATCCTTTATTGCCTCAAATCCATTGATTTCTCGATAATTCTAGGCAACACAATACTTTTAAGATACCTTTAGGTACAGAAAGTTTGGTTTCTATATAGGAGAACTGACGTGAAAATCCCTAGGCCATTAGGGATTATTCCAAGTCATGATGATCACTACATTATTTTGTTTATACATGACTTGAATATCTTCAAGATGGTTATTTGGTAAGTGTTGATATCAAAGATTGAGACCAAAGTTAGGCGTGTTGAAATCAAATCGGCGGAACAACGCGATCAAGATGATGAGATCTCGTCGACCTCGAATGTCAGCCGACAATAAAGTCAACAGTCTATCATCGACCTTGCCGTCAAGGGATTTATGTCGACAACAAATTCGACAAAGGGTGCGTCGAGTACTTCGCCGAGACGAGACAACCGACGGTAAAGTCGACAGCAGAACTCTAGTTTCCGAATAAGGGGTTTTCAACAATTTTTCTTGAAGTTTTACAAAATTTTTGGCCTTTCACATGTCAAATCAGACTCAAAGGAGGATTTACAAGGTGGTGGACGAGAATTGGAATTCTTATTCAAGAGAAATTATATTTTATTATGTTTTCCTTTTTAGACTAGGTTTTATTTTCTATTTGCGTTGGGTTTTGAATTTTCCTTGATATTTTCGACCCTCACACGTTTTTATTACTATTTTTGGAATACTTTTAATATTAAATAATTATGACATGTGCAATTATTTAATTATTTCTTAATTTCTAAGTTTTAGGAAACTTGTAGTCTAAGAAATCCGAATAAGAGTTGTAATCGGATTTCTCATCCTCTTTGGCCGACCTAAACCCTTCTTTTGCCTATAAATAGAGGTCTTGGTCATGGCTTTGAGGGAGAATATGATATTTTCTTGATGAATTATTATTTAATACAAACTTGTGAGGAAAACTCCTTATTTCTTAACCTTTTGAGGTTATTTTGGCTTGTGCAAGAATAGGGTTTTTGCATTAGTAACAAGCATGCTTTCGAGTTGTGTGTTTCTCGAATAGTGGAGCTTTGTTTGTCATTTCGTAGAACATTGTCAAATCGTTTTTGTCACAAGTATTAAGGAGGGTTATTTGGAGTGTATCTAAGGGGTTACAAATCGAAACACTTCTCCTTTTCTTTCTCTCCATCATATTCTTTTTGTTTCGGATTTTTGTGGTCCGATTCTTTCTTTTGGTCGCGTTTGTGACTGTCTTGGAGCAAGAACTCAAGTCTTGGGATTTGCTTCCGCATTCATAGGTAATTTTCATATCAATTTAGTATCAGAGCTTAGGTTCTTGATACTTGCCAATTTTTGAAAGCTTTGAGAATTAGAATTGTCATATTTTTAGCTAATTTCATATCAATTTGGTCTCAGAGCTTTTGGTTCATTGATTTCTTGCATGTGTTATATCTAATTAATCAAGGTTCATTTTTGGTTAATTATCTTTGTGTCTTTTGTGTCTTTTTCTTTAAAAATCTCGCATCTTTTGTTTTCTTATAATTCAGCCATAGTGATTTATTGGGAAAAAAAAATTCAATTTGGTGTTGATTTTGGTTCGGCCATGTGTTGATTTTGATTAATCAAATTTGATTGGTTCTGTTTTGGTGATACTTCGGCCTTGTGTTTATTAAAAAAAATATTATTAGAAGAGTGCTGCTTGTTTGGTTTTCGTTTGATTCGGCCGCATAGAGGAATATATATATATATATATATATATATATATATATATATATATATATAGAGAGAGAGAGAGAGAGAGAGAGGTGTTGTTTGCTTTGTTGATTCGGCCGCCGTGTAGGAGGAAACAATAGAGGTGCTTGTTTGGTTCACATGTTGAGGTGCTTGCTTGGTACTTTCTGATTGCTATTCACGTGAGAGAAAACACCAAGTAACTAGGTGATTACGCATTCTGTTTGGTGTGTTTTCTTTGCTGATTTTGGCCAAAAAAAAGTAATAATAATAATAAAAGAGGCCGCAGCTTGTTTAAAAAAAAAAAAAAATAGATCCTACAAAAAAAAATGGAGTACGTAGTTGCTGAAATTTTGGAGTGTTCAAATTAGGGTTTGAAAAATTCCCTAAAAGTTATTAGTTTGGACATTAGGGTTTTCGAAAATTATAAACCCTAGAAAGTTAAGTTTGGCCGAGAATTAGGGATTACAATCTACCACCCTAGTTCAAATATTTTCTTTTTATATTTTGCTCCACAATTTGATCCTTTCTTTACGAGATTTCTTTTCATATTTGTGTCATCAATAATTTATTTCGTATTTTTCATAGATTTGTTGCAAATATTTAGGATATATCATAGTTGTTCGCGCTTCTAGTGTAAAATCGTTGTTAGTAATCTCATTGCACCAAGTATAAGATACAAGGACCATGATTTCCTTCACGAATTATGTTTGCTGTGTTATTTTCTCATAACAAACAATGCGAGTTTATGGTTATTTTGATACGAAGTTATTGGAAGACACTTCGGTTGATCCTAGTGTCATAAGACAATATGTCTTGAAGCGTAAAAAAGAATTTGAGTTAAAATTACAACGACTTGAAGCTTTGCAAGAGAAGAAAGAATACGAAGAATGGCAACATGAGTTTGAGCAAGAGAGAATTCTTAAGAGAGAAGAAGTTGTGTGCGTTTCGCCTAAACAAGGTAGAGATGCTATTTTTCGTATGATCCTCCTCCTAAAGACATTGTTTGCAAGGCATTGATTCTACATGAGCAAGCAATAACTGATGATGTCCAATCTATGGAGGAAACCAAAGACCACGAAAAAATAGTTGTTGAGAATGTTCCTACCAATGTTGATATTTTAATCTCCAACGATCTTATATATGGTCCACATAAGAATGTATCTAAACAAGAAGATCTTACTTTCATATGATCATATGAAGCGGTTGAACATATTGACTTTGTGTTTGGTGACTTCTTTTCCAAGAAAGAATTGGTTTTCAATCCATTCAACAATTCTGAAGTTTTTGTTGGCCAATGTTCACATGTGAAGAAGCAAAGGAAGTTTATGAAGAAATTCATCCTCCATAATTACATGTTGCAAGATTCGAGGATGAATCTTTTCGAAGAAAGGGGGAGTGATGTAAAAATCCTTAGGCCATTAGGGATTATTCCAAGTCATGATGATCACTATATTATTATGGTTATACATGACTTGAATATCTTCAAAATGATTCATTTGGTAAGTGTTGATATCAAAGATGATTGAAGATTGAGAACAAAATTAGGCGTGTTGAAATCAAGTCGGCAGAACAACGCGATCAACATGATGAGATCTCGTCGACCTCGAATGTCAGCCGACAATAAATTCGACAATCTTTCGTCAACCTCGCCGTTAAGGGATTTATGTCGACAACAAAGTCGACAAAGGGTGCGTCAAGTACTTCGCCGAGACAAGAGAGCCGATGGTAAAGTCGACAGCAGAACTCTAGTTTCCAAATAACGGGTTTTCAACAATTTTTCTTGAAGTTTTACAAGATTTTTGGCCTTTCACATGTCAAATCAGACTCAAAGGAGGATTCACAAGGTGATGGATGAGAATTGGAATTTTTATTCAAGAGAAATTATATTTTATTATGCTTCCCTTTTTGGACTAGGTTTTTATTACTTATTTTTAGGATAATTTTAATATTAAATCATTGTAACATGTGTAATTATTTAATTATTTCTTAATTTTTAAGTTTTAGGAAACTTCCAGTCTAAGAACCCGAATAAGAGTTGTAATCGGATATCCTTTCCTCTTTGGCCGACCTAAACCCTTCCTTTGCCTATAAATAGAGGTCTTGGTCATGGCTTTGAGGGAGAATATGATATGTGCTTGATGAATTATTATTCAATACAAACTTGTGAGGAAAACTTCTTGTTTCTTGACCTTTTGAGGTTATTTTGGCTTGTGCAAGAATAGGGATTTTGCATTAGTAACAAGCGTGCTTTTGAGTTGTGTGTTTTTCGAATAGTGGAGCTTTGTTTGTCATTTCGTAGAATATTATCAAATCGTTTTCTTCATAAGTATTAAGGCGAGGGTTATTTGGAGTGTATCTAAGGGGTTACAAATCGAAACACTTCTCCTTTTCTTTCTTTCCATCATATTCTTTTTGTTTCGGATTTTTGTGGTCCGATCTTCTTTTGGTTGTGTTTGTGGCTGTCTTGGAGCAAGAATTCAAGTCTTGGGATTTGCTTCCACGTTCATAGGTAATTTTCATATCAAGAACCACCGTACGCCTCTACTATCTTCTTGGTGCCTGAGTTGGGGTTCTTCTTAACAATATACCAATCTTGAAAAGATGTCGAGGACATGGATACTTTAAAGAAATATCTCCACAGCAACAGACACGGTTTCACTTTCACCCATTGACATATTTTCACAAAACCGAGAACGTATGCTATCAGATTCTGTGTGAATCGTGCCAAGGGGGTTTTATAGTGTTGCACAATCTCCTCGGACAAAGGAGAAAGGGGGAACCTCAACCCTAGATACATAAAGCGATCATACATTGTAATTTTTCCTTCTGGAGGAGTATTGCCCTCTCGGTTCCTAAAGGGGCTCTAGCTTCTAGATCTAGGGGCAAGTCATATTCCGTCTTCACAGATTTTACCTTTTCATCGGAGTCTATGGTGGACACAAAATCGTCGGCAGATTTCTGATTCGGGTTCCTAGCCATAGTTATCTACTTACAGCAATAAATAGATCTACAAATTCAAAGGGCTGCAAATGAAATACAGATGTGGGAATCTGGGAACTTACTGCTGGAATAGGTTTCCACTCGCCTT